AAATTTGATTTGTCACACTTTGGCGCTATATATGAATGTTCTATTGTATCACTATTTTTTAAAGTTAACTGTTAAGGATTCATTTATTCTATGTAGTGATGCGGTTTTACCAGAGGGTGAAGATTTTATGCGCCTGTGCGAGTCAATTGCCCAGGAACTGTACTGGTTTTTAAACACTGATAACTCTCTCTCTGATATCGACCATGCACGCGATATGCACGCGATCAGTCGGTAAATTACCAAAATTTAAATAATACAAAATTCGCAACCGGAATTGAAAGTGAATAATTATTATACTTCGGTCTATCAACTCCGCAAATCGGAAAAGTGCCCATAATTAAGTGCTGGAAAATTCCCTAAGTCTTTCGCCGCAAAAGCTCATTTGGCTAGGTGCACCTAGAGGAGGAAAATAGACGACACTTCGGTAAGTCCCTCTTTTATTAGGCTGTATCACTGCTTTATATTGTTGAGGTCAATTACCAATCCGAATAACGGGATTTTTCTAAATAAAAAATTCATATATTATTTAACACTGGAAAAAGTGATTCCGCGATCTTTGTATCTTCAAATTAAAAGAAGATTATTAAATTACAGTCCACTAAACTCAACCAACATTACTGAGCTGTCGTTACAGCACAAAAACTTACCTGCATTTGATTTGACCGAGCTTTGCGGAGGATGCTATGGCAAAATGTACCGCGTTTTAGTCACTTTTGACTATACAGGGTGTCCCAAAGAAAACAGTCCACCCCGATTTATTGGATTTGGGATGAGAATTTGGAAAAACGCTCGGACACGTCGATGTAACTAGGGGGAGAGCAACCCCCCAAATTTGACTAGGGGATAGGGGTCGTGTCATACCTCTTTTTAAAGGTTCCATCGAGTTCTTTGAAGCCCTAGAATTTCGTCTTATTATTTTCATCCGTAACGAAATGACAGCTTGTCGAAATCTTGGAAATGGACTATTGTTTTAGTAGGAGTAAAAGCGGTACTTACCTCCCTTGATAAAAATAAGAGTAAAAATACCTACAATTTACAATTTACGTGTACATCTCATCGATAATAATAATAAAAAACTTTAATTTCAAGTATTTCTATTAGAGCAGGTAAGTATCGCGTTTACTCCCACTAGTCTATTTCCAGAATTTTGACAAGCTGTCATTTCTTTACGGATGAAAATAATGAGATAAAATTCTAGGGCCATAAAGAACTTTATAAGACCTTTAAAAAGAGACATGACACGACCCCTATTCCCTATTCAAATTTGGGGGGTTGTTCTTCCCCTAGCTAGGGGGTTCAAATTACGGAGTTGAAAAAAAAATTAAAAATAGTTCCCCCTCAAATCAAAAATCGACGTGTCAGAGCGTTTTTCCAGATTCTCATCCCAAATCCAATAAATTGGGGTGGACTGTTTTTTCTGGGACACCCTGTATAATGGTACATTCTGCCTATTTGCATACAGGTCATATGACCAGGCCTGCCCAATAACCAAGTGTTGAAATGAAAGAACCTTTATTCTGTTCATTTACCTGGACTACCTGGGTAGGGTAATTTATTTTCATTTATCCGTATTTAAAGCCATTTTTATTTGATTTTGGTATTAGTCTGTGTTCCTAACGTGTAGCGTCTTAGTGTCCATATTTCCTGAAATATTTTCGATTTTGTCCCTTTGTGTATTTTTGAACTTTTTTGTTGATTTTGAATTCATATCAATGTCTGTGGAATCGAGAACCATGCAGTGTGAGGAGAACCCGGAGGAAACTACTGGAGTGCTGTTGGAAGTTCCATCAAGTCAGGATTCTGGTTCATCCAAGATTGGACCAGAAACTTCAATTTCGGGAAGCCAAACCCCAACATCCACTAATTTCGGATCTCAGGATCCTGGTCCATCGAAGATTGGACCTGAACCTCCTATTTTGGAAACCCAAGCTCCTGGAGCCCAAGCCCCAATACAAACCCCAACAACTGCAATGAAAAGTAAGTTATTTATGATATACAGGGTGTCCCAGAATATGTGGGCAATCTCTCGGATTCAGATAGAATACAAAAAAATAACATGACAACTTCCTAAAAAAAAAATTCCTACGGCCCCCCTACGAAGTTACATATTCCTGAAGGACGCCTCTGAAAATCGTTTTTTTGTTGATAACTTTCAAAATACTTCGTGTAATTTTTTTCTCTTTTAATATGTTGGATACTAGATAAGACCCCTTAAAAAGGACCCTTTGAACTAGGTTTAACACAATAATGTTCCTTTTTTTACACCCTGTATGTAAAGGCACAGCAATAATAGTTTTATATCGTTTTAATCTTGAACTAGAAAAAAGGTACTCTTATTCGACGTCGAAAAAATGAGCTGGTTTCGAGAAAAATCTGTTTTTGTTTATCAATGGTTTTTTATTAAATAATTTTGTATGTCGGCTCAACATGAGCTCCTTCTAATCTTATGCATTTCATACCTATTTTAATGAAAGATTGTTCGACCCTCGACAATGCTTCAATATTAGCCCCCTATTTCGCGACAGTGAAAATAAATCCTGTCTACTAATATTTCCTTAGTGTCATTATTTGTGTTAAAGCTAGTCCCTCCCTGGCAAACTAGATTGGTCAATTGTGTTTGAAAGGGTCCGTTTTAAGGGGTCTTAACTAGTATCCATCATATTAGAAGAAAACAAAAATTACACGAAATATTTTGAAAATTATCAACAAAAAAACGATTTTCAGAGGCGTCCTTTAGGGGCACGTAACTTTGCAGGGGGGAGTCGTAAGAATTTTTTTTTATGGAAAGTTGTCATGTTATTTTTTTGTGTTCTATCTGAATCCGAGAGATTGCCCACATATTCTGGGACACCCTGTATTGTTTTTTTTTTCTAAGATGGTTTCCATTTATTCATTAAATTAATTATGATTTTTAAATTTCAACAAATTTTATCATGACTCTCTTCCACAGAGAAAAGAAAAACTACAGACGACGAGATTTCTCAGTTATTAGAAGTCAGCAAACTTCTGGTAGAATCTCTGGACACTATCCTGAAAAACCAAATCAAGCCAAATAACGCAAATGAAGCGTTATGTGAGTATTTATGCATAATTTTGAATGAGATGCCTGCTGAGAGAGCTAGAAAAATTAGAGGAAGGATTATAGAGGTACTTTTAGAGGAAAATATTCAGTGAGGAATAGACTTTTCCAAAGATATTTTGTTTTATTTCTATTACCTACATTGCGTTGGAACTATCATTTTAAATTATACTAATTATTAAAAAGGCTCATTGCTTTCCATTTTCTCTTTTTTTTTTGTACAAAAAATAATACATGATCAGGTATTGTTAGTGATTCTTTAGTAAATATTAATTGGAATTTTTTCTTATTTTCAAATCTTTTCGTTTTTAAATTAAAATGAAGGTTAAAAAAACATAATACTTCGGTACATTTATTGTCATTTATGATGCAGGCCGTATAATCTGGGATTTGTATTTCATTTACCTGACCTAAGATGGTCAAATCCAAACAGCACCGTAAACAGATTTTTGTAAACTTGCCACAATACCACATGGCCAAAAAGGTTCAAGGCAGGTATGTTCCTTTTTGAGTAGGACTAGGGGTCGTATTTTCGAATTCATTCGAGTACGTTTTGTACAGGGTGATCATTATAAATGTCACCCCCTGGTAACTTTTTCGTTTGATATTTTTGACAGAAGTGTCAAATACAAAAGTTTTAAGAAATTGTCAAAAGTTTTTAACTAAGTCAGTTTAGGGCATACAGGGTCCGTCAAAAAAGTGCAGCAGCGTGGAGTTTTATTTGTAAATGGAACACCCTGTATGTTGTGCGCTTATTTGTTAGTCCCGTTTAACCTGATTTCATCGATATACGATTTGATATGTTTATCTCTCGGTTTATTTCTAATGGTAATAGGGAAAAACGCGAAAATTTCTTCCAAGGTCTCTCATGGAATTTTTTTTTAAAATAAAAATAATAACTCAGACATCTGGATTTATTATAATATTTCACCTGGTATATTCTGCCCTGCTAAGCAAGAAGGTCGTATCTGACAATTTTGTCGAAAATAATGTTTTTTCAGTTTAAGTATTTCTGCATCATTTTGCACCTATCGTACTAGAAATAAATGTCGTATGATGAAAACTAGGTATTTAATGAGCTTATGAAATATGTCATATCTGCAAAATTGCCACTCATCCCAATGAAATATGTCGTATATAGCATATGCTAAGAAATTTTGTCGTATATGGCAGATACGATCAATTCCTTTAGTGAAATCACTGGAAAAGTTGTGAATGATTCCAATACAATTTGTCGTATCTGACTTGTGCTAAAAAGAATTGTCGTATGTTACAAATTTCAGTATCAGATACGACAGTTCCTTTTAGAACTCGCGAGCAGTCAGTCAACATAACCTAAAACTTTTTTGACACACGTTGAAAATCGATCCGTTGGAACGTTGATATATTTCAAATATTAAGACAATATAAACTGTTTTTGTGATATGTGTACCTGAATACAATAATAAAGGTAAGTTTAACATATATTTTATGACACTTTATTCAATGCACGTGAAATAAAGTGCTTGTTTATGTTTTGCTTTTGTAACAAAGTCTTTGTTTATGTTTTGCTTTTTAACCTGACAAATCAATGCCGACTTATAGTTAGATACTCAAGGCAATATGAACCAAATACCTATTATTAATTGCCCGAGGTTCGATAGCGTTCAAACCTAGGGCCTCTGGCCCAATGGGTGTATTAGGGACATCGACCGAGGGCAATAATTACTTAGTTCATATTGCCCGTGGTGTCTTTAACGTTTTATGATGTCTTCAGTCCCTTATTTCGTAACAAAATTTAAATTATTGCAGGATGAAAGAAAGGACTAAAAAAATTTTGGAACTTGCTCTAAAGTCTTCAGCGGCAGGTAATAACATAGGAGAAAGGCAATATGAGTTGGACGTTAACCCACAGGAAAGACAAAATAATTTGAATGCTAACATGGAAGAAGAACAAACTATTTCAGATAATAACATGGGAGAAAAACAATATGAGTTGGACGTTAACACACAGGAAAGAACAAATAGTTTGGATGGTAACATAGAAGAAAAACAATATGAGTTGGACGTTAACACACAGCAAATACAAAATAAGTCGCATATTATTATAGAAGAAGAACAAACTATTTCAGATAATATCATAGGAGAAAAACATTATGAGTTGGACGTTAACACACAGGAAATTCAAAATAATTCGCATATTATCGTAGTAGAAGAAGAAACTATTTCAGAAACTAACATGGAAGAAAACCAATATAATTTGGACAACATAGAAGAAATACAGAATAATTCGGATGTTAACATGGAGGATGAACAAGATATTCCAGATGATGATATGGAGGAAGAACAAAATAATAATTTTGACAATTTTTCAGAAGATAGCGATGATTCCATTAAAGATCGAGACTTCGTTATATCGGAGTCTGGCAAGGGTTCTGATTCAGATATTTCTGAAATTGAAATAACTGAAAACGAAGCTTCCGAAGAATCTTCTGAAGAAGATAATCTACCTTTGACGATAATAAGAGAGAGGGTTCTTCAAAAAGAAATAAAGCATACCTTAGAAGAAATTGTTGAGAAAGTTTCTACCAAATTGAATGGGGACATGTATACGAAGAAAGGAACTTTAAGAAAAAGAAAAAGGTATGACACTTCTCCGGCAACAAGAACAAAGATGCGACTATCCATCAAAAGACAAAAACATTCTTTTGTTAAAGAAAATTGTGGTGAAAAATGTAGAAAGAAATGTGTTCAAAAAATCAGTGCACAACGACAGGAAGTAATTAATAGAGAATTTTGGGACATGACTGAAAAAGAGAGGCGTGCTTTTATATTACACAAAACAAGCACCACTGGTGTTAAAAGAAGATCACAACCAGTGACTGCCGAGGGATCTAGAAGAAATAAATCTGTTTCCTATTATTTACCCGACGAGACCGGAAATAATCAGCAGGTTTGTAAAAAGTTTATTCTGGCAACGTTAGGATATGAACTGAAAAACGATCGTGTCCTTAGAAATATCACCCTGCAAAATGACAGGACATCCATTGTTCCAAAACAGGATAATCGGGGTAGAAAACAAAAACAAAATAAGTTTGATGAAACATTGATTGAACAACATGTTGAAAGTTTTGGACCTACAATTTCTCATTATAGACGAGAACATGCTCCGTTGAGAAAATACCTGCCAAGTGATATCACAATAAGGGCAATGCATAAAAACTTTTTACATCAGCATCAAGTTAATATTTCTTATGAACTCTACAGAAAAGTGGTGGCACGTATGAACATTTCATTCTCAAATTTGGGACATGAAGAATGTTTTGTTTGTGAATCATTTAGAATCCACTGCATGTCAACAGGGCATCAAAAGAACGACAATACCGAAGACTGTGATGTGTGCACATCATTTCCAAAGCATCGAGATGGATATCGAAATGCAAGGAAAGAGTATAAACTAGACAGTGTCAAAAAGGATGGTTTATACGTTTCAGCAGATCTCCAAAAGGTAATTGATTATATTAATTTGTCACTTTTATTACTAAATAGTCATATCTTATTTCAGGTGATTATGCTTCCCAGGTGCGAGATGTTTAAGGAAATAATCTTTATGCCTAGAGTTATTGCATTCAACGAAACATTTGTGCCTATTGGAAAATCGCAGGAAAAACCATTCGCTGTCATTTGGCACGAAGCTATCTCAGGAAGATCCAAAGACGATATTATTTCAACCTTTTATAATTTCTTACTTTCTATTAGGGATGTAGAAAATGTAACAATATGGTTGGATAACTGTGCTGCGCAAAATAAGAACTGGGGCCTCTTTTCATTTCTAACTTACGTAATTAATTCAAACGAAATTAATTTAAAAGAATTGAATTTAAAATATTTTCAATCCGGGCACACTTTTATGTCCAGTGACGCTTTCCACCACCAAGTGGAATTGGCTTTAAAAAAAAAGAAAAAAGTTTACGATTTTAAAGACTTTAGCGAATGTGTGGCATCAGCGAATTCTAAAAAAGTTATTGTCAAAGAAATGGAAATTGATAACTTTTATACCTTTCCCGATCTAACATCACAATATAAATTGAGTAAAATAAATCCCAGGCCTTATCTGCAGGATATGGTTTTCGTTCAGTTTCAGAGGGGGCAAAGAAGTTTAAAATTCAAATCATCTTTTTCTGAAGATTTTCAAAATCTAAATTTTTTATTACAAAAATATGAAAAAGGGTCCTTGCCTCAACCTAAAAAAAAAGTTACTGAAAGGGGGGTTTCCAAAGAAAGAAAAAACAATATCTTGAATAAAATTCAAGGTTTGGTTCCAGAAAACCGATTATTTTTCTGGCAAAATCTTAAAGAAACAGATCACGAAGTTGATTTAGAATAATTAGAATTAGGCGATTAACCAATTTAATGTTAGGTTTATTATTACCTCACTAATTATGTTCAATTTACATTATATATTAAAAATATAATACATAACTTTGACAGATATGACGATTTTTATTAGCATAATAATACATAAAACTAAAGCGAAATGTCGTAACTGCATTTTGCTCGCTCTGTGACCTTGAAATACTCTGAAACTTATAGAAAAAATAGAACTCGAAATTATTTTTGTCATGTTATACACACATAGTGCTCACTGTAGTTTAAAAGAAAAAACTCTATTTTTCGTAAAAACACATTTTTCTCACATAAACAAAATCTGCAGATACGCCCTTCTTGCTTAGCAGGGCAGTATTCATGAATAAAATTTGAACAATAAATAAATTCTCTAAAGCTTAAATGGTATCGCTTTTCTTTTTTCAATATAAAACCTTAGAAGGGGTTTTCATGTTTTTCCCTATAACTATTGAAGATAGACATATCATCGTTGAAATCAGGTTGAAAGGAACTAACAAATAAGCGCACAATATACAGGGTGTTCCATTTAAAAAAAATACTTCACACTGCTGCACATTTTTGACGCACCCTGTATGCCTGAAACTAACTTAGTTCAACAATTTCTTGAAACTTTTGTATTTGACACTTTTGTCAAAAATGTAAAATTAAAAAGATAGAAGGGGGCGACATTTATAATAGATCACCCTGTACACGAAATTTGATTGACAGCAATGTAAATTAAATGGGGAGCATTCGAAATCGTGTTATATTTCGTATGCGTGTCTGAGGGTGGCTAGGCTTCTGGTCAGTGCAGGTCCGTGGATGGTTTTAGCGAAGAATTTCATGGACACCTCGTTGAAGTACTCTAGAATTGTGTCGATTTCAACGAGTTTATGTACTTCAACTGTACGGGTGTCCATGGGGAGTGAAAGTGCTGTCTTGAGTATCCTGTTCTGGTATCGTTGCAGTATGAGTTTTTGAGAGTTGCTGATATAGTTCCATGCGGGGGCAGCGTAGAGTAAGGTTGGTCGTATAATGATTTTGTAAATATGTATGCGGTTTCTGGGACTGAGGTATGAGTTTGGTTTCATGATTGTTGCCAGAAGTCGTTCAGCCCCATACGCCTTGCGTAAGGTGTTTGTCACCTGGGAGTCGCCATAGAGGCCTTTGTCAAGTACCTCCCCCAAGTATTTCGCTGTTGTTTTGTTTTGTATTTCTACGTTGTTGATAGTTAAGGCTGGTTCAATTGTAATGTTTGTCCGTTTTCTGGTTAGTGTTAGAAGTTCAGTTTTTGAAGAGTTCAGAGTAATTTTCTAGTCTTGCGGTAGGGGATTATTTGGCTAAGATGGTCCACCAGAGCTTTTCTCGCGTCTTTTGCGAAAAAGGCACTGGTGTAGATAGCCGTGTCGTCTGCGTACATCATTATGTCAGTGTTGTAAGTTTTCGGTATGCCTGCAATGTATAAGTTGAATAGAGTTGGGGATAGTACCGTGCCTTGAGGTACTCCCGCTCTAATTGTCTTAGTTTTTGAGTGTGCAGATTCTGGATTTTGAAGGTCCTGTCGCTAAGGTATGACACAATGAGCGATGTAGTATAGTAGAGTGGAAAATTGTGTTTGTACATTAATTTGTGAATTAGGCCCTTGTGCCACACCTTATCAAAGGCCTTCTCGATGTCTAGTAGCAGCAGGAAGGTGCTTTCGTGGTTATTGAAGGAGATTGAGGCATCTTGAGCCACCTTCGCTACTGCTAGGGTCGTGTTGTGTTGTTGTCGAAACCCAAACTGCTCCGGTGGGAGGCAGTTTAGGGTGTCGATTGTCCGGGTAAGTCTGTCCAGAAGTATTCGTTCAGCAACTTTCCCCAGTGAGTTTAGTAAGTATATGGGTCTGTAAGATTGTGGTAGTAGGTCTTTTCCTGGTTTTGGAAAAACTATTATGTCAACTTGTTTCCATGCCAATGGGAAATGCTGTAGCGTTATCACTGCGTTGATTATGTGTACAAGCTGCATAATAGTCTTCCTTGGTAAGTGTTTTATTAGATTGTTTCCAATAGTGTCGGGTCCTGGGCTCTTTTTGTTAGGTAGTTTTCTGATTTTTGTTTTTAAATTCTTGTAGTGTTACCAGAATCCTTTGCAGCACTGTAGGTGGAATTGGATACTTTTGGCTGGCAAAGGCTTCCTCCGTGTTCGTTATGTAATTGTGTGTATTTGCTGTGTTCGGTGTTTCGCTGAAAACGGTCCCAAAGGCTAACACCATTGACGACCAGGCTTGCCTTCTGTGTTCCTGGTCGCCTAAGGCTCTCTGCTAGCTTCCACATAGAGTTATCTTGGCTTTCTAGAGAGGAAACATACTTCATCCAGGACTGGTTCCTATGATTCCGTATGTCCCTCTCTATTTCTTTGTTTAGGTGCTTGAGTATCTGTCTGTCAATTTCGTTGGGGCGCCTTTGCCATGCTCTTTTCACCCTGTTTCTCAGTTTAATAAGTGCAACAATGGATTCTGGAATGGCGTCAGTCCCAGGTTTGATTGTAATTTTTGTAGCCAGTTGGTCTCGTATGTCTTGGATGTTGTTTGTGATATTACCAACTTGTCTTTCCAGTTCTGGAATATCATTTATGGCTGTTGGTATTGGGGTAATGTTATTGAGTCTTTGTTTGTATTGCTGCCAATCGAAATTTTTGTATGTGCGTAATTATTGTGCTAATTTAGTATAAATCGCAGATTTGTATCCAAACCTGATATTTTATGTGTATTTACTTATATTAAAAGGTAATATTTACAGCTTAACTGGCCCAATATGTTGTAGCATTTTCAGATTTGTGATAATGATATATTAATCATTATAACTCAAAGTAATGCTACTTTTTCTGGTTTGATTTGTTTGAATGCAACTGTAACCTTTTTATGGTTATTTTTCCTATAAAAGTTTTCAAGCTTCTTTCAGTAAAATAACTATTTTGTTTATTAGTTTTCATTTATTTTCACAGTTAAGCCTCACCATTCTATCTTGTTATTGTTTCATTATTTTATTGGATAAATTATATGCTGACAAGGTTTATTGAAAATTCCAAGATCTCATCCTTCCTTTTCATATTTCATTTTGGCTCTCAATTAGGTAATAAGTTGTTTTGTCTTGGATATTTTCTGGATGGTGGCTTGGTAGTTTTCTATCTTGTCTTGCTTCGTCTAATTATTCCTGCTTGATCATCCTAATTTTCCGTTGTTTTCATCACGGTTTTGTTTGGAAAATGGAATAGTATATTTCATTACCAGTCCAGAAAATAGGATTTTTCCGTGCGCGCGTGACGAATTCTCGTGTGAGGCGCAGCCGAGCACGGGAAGTCATGCAAGAACGAAAAAATCCATTTCTGGACGTGTAATGAACGATATTTTTTATTATACTTATCTGAAAACGATAAAAACAGAAAGTTCCCATTTTTTCACAATGACATGAATTTTACAGAAAATGAAATGTCAAAAATAGGTACAGTCGTGAGCATTGAAAGTGTGACACTCGACTGACAGGTCTTGTCATTTTTCGCTTCTTTGGGTAAATCAGTATTTTCTCTACAATGGATTTTTTGCCAAATAAGACAATCTCTGTCATTGCCGTAAGTATAGCTGGTGAGTTCGTTTCACAATAAGAGAAATCGGGTGTCCCACTTTCAATGCTCACGTTTGTATATATAGGTAAATGATGGTTGTCCCAGAAACTTGAATCGGTTTCCATTTTTCGGGGTGCATTTATATTGAGATATCTTTGTTTAATTTCTAATGAATGACAAGGATGCAATATTGGCTGACGTTTAATTTGCTTAGCGCACGGAAACAGAGATCGGGTAAAAATGTCCGTGCGCTGTTCTGGAAATGTCACCTTTACTTTATTGTAAAGACAGGTGAAAAAAAGGTGTTTTCAGGTAAGTAGAATAAAAATTAATTTTCTAATTTTCTATACTTTCAGGTTCTGTTGTTTTGACATCTCGCTCCCCTCTTCTTGTCAATTTTATTGTATTTCGACTATTCATCTTTCATCTGGGCAGTGCAATCAATACAGGAACGGGTTTATTTTGGTCATTTGCGGTTCCATTTCTTGTTAGTCGACTTTTTGTCTCTTTTATTCTCCTGTATTGGAGAGAAATAAAAAATGTTGGGTGCGATTTTTTTTTTGTAAATCAAAAATCCGAAGGGTCGGAAGGAAAAATTTCGCCATGCTTGTATTTTTTTGGTTTTGCAATCTGAAGAGAAAATATCGTCTCTGGCCTTAAGTTTTTTGAATTTGAATGCCGGATTGGTACATGGCCGACGATTGAATCATTCGTGTAGAGAAATTGCAAAAAGAGTCCTTTTGGTTGAAGGGCCTTTCTATTTGAAAATCTCGTGGTCCCTCTAGATTCATTGAAGTAAGTTTTCATAGAAAATATTTTTTTTTTTTTGGTTTTGTCCTTTGGCTATAAATACTCAGGGAAATATTTTCTGATTTTAGGGTCCAAGTTTAGGGCATATAAAAACCCTTATTTTGCGGGATTGAATGACGTAAATGATTCTGTGCCCGATCATTATTTGAAACCCGAAAATTTGATGTAAAACTGGATTCAAAGCATGGTCCAATTTGGAGGTTAGAACTTCCATTTTTGCTATTTACTTGGTTTTGGGGTACCTAACATCACAGCTTCTAACAGCTTACAGACAACTCCAGGGTTTATTAAAATTATCAGGAACTTGATTCTGTTTGGGAAAAACTCACTTCCAGAACAATCTGTATGGATGTCAGGATAACTCAGGCCTGTATACTTCAATTGAAGAGTTTGGGGCAAAAAGCGGTCAAAGACCAAATTTGTCAAAATCGAGATTTCGTCAGATTTTGCATTAAAAATATACTCTCCATCGTCTGGAGCAAAAACCGTCCATGTATTAGCATCAAAATAGCATTTACTTACACATAGCCCTTTTATTGCACCAAACGTGTTGATGGACCGGGTAGGCGCATGTAATAGTTTGTGTCAAAAAGCGTCCACGTGTTGCACATGACCGTTTGTTGCACCAAAAGTCCTTGACCTATATATTTGCTGTTATTCTAACCTCAAAGCGCTCAGTACAGGTTCACACAAGGCACACGATCTTACTTAAAAATGAGTGATTATTTAAGTGATACAAGTGATACTGACCCTTTCCATAACTCAGATGATAGTGACAAGGACCCTGACTATGTAGATTCAAGTGATAACGAAAATAATCAAGGTAGGAAGTTTTTTTTTTTTTTTTTGTTTGTAAAGCTACTATTTTGGTAAAATTTACAGGATTCACAGCACAAGCTCCTAGTTCAACAACTGATACTTCCGAAGATGAATTTGATGAAGACCAAGCAGGTATGCTTTAAA